TGTATCACTGCGAGAGAAACACTGAAGATAGCGCGCGGCAGTGTTTTACCAAACGAAAATAAAACTGCGTAACTGGGAGTTCGCGGAAGTCGTAGTATTACTATACTTCAGTATGAGTATAGTTTCTCAAAAAATATAAGGTCATTCGATTTGCGTGTGAGTTAACGATTTCTTGCATATTTGCTGCTAATAACTCATCAACATATCGTTGTGTTGCATAAATCACTATTACTGTACAACAAATATTGTGCTGTTATCGCTTTGTCTATAGACTGTTTATATTGCATATGAATGTTAGATAGATCATTTTTGAGATTATATTTAATTAGGGTTGAACTGTTGATTAAAATTATATTAATTAACTTACTCTTTATAGATGAACGCGGCTGTACATATTGCGGCGGTTTGGGGCACAGAATTAGCGACTGTCCTAAATTGGAAGCCATGCAAAGCAAACAGGCACAGACGATGACAAAGAAAGATTACTTAGCGTCCGGGTCAGCTGATTGGTGATGCGAATTGTTTTGCATGTTCTGTAACATAATAATTAAGAGTAAAGTTTAACTGCGCAGAATTTTGAATTGCTCTTGTTCTACCAACGGTCATTCGTGTTGTTGGGCGCAGTTGCGTTTTATCGTTTGTCAGAACGTTATTTCGTCGTTTTCATTTGTATGGCTTAGGTGTCTCCGTGAAATGCTCAATAGCCGCTCAGATACGCAGGGTGGGCTGGATGCAGCGGCGGTGCTGCCACGTTTGGTTGCACTATCAAACGAGGACCTGCGTCAGTTGCTGATCCAGTGCGGCCTGAGCCCGGGTCCCGTCGTCGCCACCACTCGCCACGTTTACGAGCAAAAATTGAAAGACCTGTTGTCACCGCCTTCGATGGTCGATCAAGATTTATTGGCCGACTACAAAAATCGTAGTTCTGCTGCCGAAGCTCCTTTTTCTCACACTCAGGACGCAACTGAATCTGGTGAAGATGACGACATTGACTTAATGGAAGGAGAAGAATCGTTCAGAAGCATCGGTACTGACGAGGAAAGTCAGGTTTTGCATTCCACTCTCAAACCAAGGTGTGCGAGATTTTTTACCTCGTCCAAAGTATCCTTAAAATTCTATTCGATTTGTGTTTTTGCAAATTCATATCAATCTTCTAATTGTTGACACAGCATTCTAATGACTGACAGGAAGTAGTCTTATGTTGTATTTTCTTTTGCTAACTTTTATTCATCAGTCAAACACGTCAAAGCGAATTCTGGCTGTTAAGCACGTACATAGCACAGTGGTCTTATATCTTGCACGCTTTGGTATGAGAACACCACCCAACCCCTACTGTCCGCAAGTCACTGACTGACAAACCGTTCCTCAGTTAGTTGGACCGAAGTGCATTGAAAAATGAATATTGCTTACTCCAGTTAGTTAACGTTAACTTATTAACGCCGCTATGTGATTTAAACCTCGCGCTTCCAATGTGCACTCCTACAGTCGACCGAGATTACAGTCTGCTGTACCACCGCTCCCCTTTCCTTCTCTAAAGTCAGAAGGTTAAAGCAATTACTTACTAGTTGAACGCAATGCTCGTCTCAGTGGGAAAAAATCAGAATACATTACAAGTGTTTCAACTGATAGGACGAGTCGTTGAAGGTGTGTGAAGCTCTACCAAGACTAATAGATCGTTTTGTGTGTGTCCACGCCGTGAATATCCACCGATGCGGCATTTAGAAAAGCGGCACACAAAGGCACAAGACTGAACCATAACCGTAATGTTAGGTTTGAATGGTAGACGAAGAAGTGGAAGACAGACTGATTCTTCATTAGTACAAGACCTTTCGTGGTGATTAATTCGAATAAATAATAAATCCCATCGATATCACCGATAGCTGGTTGTTTAAATTCAGTCACCATGCTCCTGCTGGAATATATAAATGACATCCTCAAGCTTGACGTTTTTTGCAAGAAAGTCAATGGTGATTTTTATTTTTGGTATTAACTACAATGCATTTAGCTTTCTTGTTGCAAAATCCGGAGAATTGCGGTCTCATTGTAGGATAATTATTTTCATCTTGTTTTGCACTTTCATGGTTTAATTAATTAAACTTAAATTTCAAATATCCAGGATTTGCTTAAGCACAGTTGTTCTCTCGCAGTGCTTTTCAATTCTTTAAAGCCATCAAACCATATTAAATATAATTTTTACCAGCGTCAGTTCTTTTATGTTTCGAAATTCTTCCATTGTGGGTCTACGTTTACTGAGATTCATGTATATTTTAAATTAGGGTAATGAATTACCGTAGAAATTCCACTGACCATTTTGTTGTTTGTTTCGAACCAAAAATCAAATGGATCCAACGTCAAAAAATATAATTACGTTTAAGGTTGTTCCAACTGCTTGTTTGTTTTTGATCTGATTCTCTTTCAGCTGTTATTTGTTTCTGCTGTTCATTTATTCATCGGTTTCTAAGATAGCCATGGTTAGACCCCAATAGCATATGGACATGACGTTCATTTTTGTTGAAGGTTGTGACATTTTCAAGACAGAGTTGTTCGTTCGAAAGCGCTCATGTTGTATGCTTAATGCAGAATACAAAAGATGTTTCTTCAGCCATTCAATAAAGTCTAATTTCTAGTAAATATACTCGGCGCTCCCCGTCGCCTGATTACAAAAAGGTTTGGCAACCTTCGTCATTCAGCAACTGCAGAGTGTCCGATTTGTCGAATCAGCGAATGACGTCTTCTGTCGGCTCGTTTCGCCCTCATCTTTCGCCAAGGAAGTCCAGTCCAACAAATGCGTACACCGTGTCTGCCAGTGGCTTGCGTAATAATCAGCATCTGTGGCCGATTTACATCAAGACCATTCTGTTTATTGTAGTTGGTATTTTTGTGTATATGTTGTTGAAACGTATCAGCAGCGTTGATGTGGATAAGTTGTAGTTTTTAATAGCTGTTGGCCGATGTTTTTGAATGATTGTAACCGTACAGTAAACGTTTCCTTATGATGCATTTTTTTCTGCTGTGGTTGTATTCATCTATTGCTACGTTGTTTTCAAGTAAGTATGTAACGTCATCATGCGATCTTTCATACGATTTCGTGGTTGGTCAGATAACTCAATTAAAGTAGTACACTAAAGTAATATCTTCAAGTTGTCAGTGGTTCTACAGTCAGCGACTTAAGTCGAAACTAAAGTGACACAATTCGTTCTTGGCAATCAGTTCGATCAGTAAAAATGCGACGAATGCCGGCAATTTATGACGCTTTTACAAAAATACATATGAAATAAAATGAAGACAATAGTTGGACGACTTTGAGAATCCTTGCAGAGTAAAGATTGTTTCTCGTAAAATTTTTTGTAACAGGCGATCGTCTTATGCCTTATCTGAAAGTTGATGCTTGGTCTTCATTCGAATCGGTTTTTTCTACCGTCTTCAGACGGTTTAATTGATTTGAAACCACTGAATTTTCCGATTGTCATCGTGATGATCCGTTCCGGTTCTTCTACTGACTCGACAGCGCATTGGTTATGAATTTCTTACTATCATCTAGTGTTAGCTCTGTTATTGGTGTCCAATAGCTTTATGACGCCTTCAGCGTGAACCTCCAAATAGTGTTATAAAGCAAGAGCGATCATTTCTGTTACTTCACCAATGATCAATTTCTAGAGCCGCGATCAAGTCTTGACTGAAGAATGGACCAAACTTTAGTCACACACCATTCATGGTTCTTTCACTAACTTCAGTTCGTGAGGCCCCCATGATCCTCATTGCATCCAAAGCATTGAAAGTCTTATTTCACAGTCATCTCATCGTTTATTTCATAGCTGTATTCAAATGGGCAAACGATCGTCATGTATAGTAAACTTTCAAACTTTTAATCGTGCTCTGGTTTATTCGTTGAGTCAAAGTTGTGTTCAGAAGAAATAACATTTTTACTCGAGGTTAAAAGTCCATCATAGTTGCTGGAGGATGACCTAGAGCATTGTCGAGAACTGGTATCACATTGAAAGGTAGATTCTGAGTGCAGAAATGTAAGCACGATTCGACTTAGCCCAGATATTGGTGTATACTATTTACACAAGCTTTTTACAAAACAATGCTCATTGAAAACCTCTCAGAATTTCGGACTTTGGCGCAAACGTCAATTTTCGCATTCATTTCATCCAACGAACTTCTTCAACCTTGCCATTCATACAGAAGACCGTACGGAACGTCTATCTTCT